CAGAAATCGTTTCTCACACCTATTTTTTACCATTTAGATGGAAGTTTCTTGTTTGACAGTACATAATCGATCATCAGTGAGAATCTAATCGATCAGTGCTGACACATCGTACGGTAACAATTACCAATATATGGTGGAGAACACACTCAGACAGGAGATAGGACAATGGATTTAATATGATTATAAGATATAAGGTAACATTCAACAAGGACCACGACTGCGAGGCCAAGCCATGCCATCTGATCAACTCGAATTCATTCAATTCATCCTTCCCGCCTTCTCCATCGTTGGGTTTTTCTCCGCGTTAAATAGTGAACACCTGTTTTCCCAAGCGTTTCGTGTTCAGCTTTGATGATTGTGTGGTTAGGGCCCGATGCCACTACATATACATAAATGTTGCTTCTACTGCAAACCAGGACAACTAAAACACATGGTTTCTGTCTGAATAATCGTTATAATTATGTTGCATAAGTATACATTCAATTATAACGTGGTTGTGCAAATTGTCGTTACAGACTCTGTAACAGTTTTTGGGATGTATATCATAGTTAGCATAACACGATTCAGTACTGAATCAATCCCCGGCTGAAAAATAATTTTGTGCGCCTTAAGTCGGAACAGCTGAAACATAATTTTCTATGGCTCCCTTCAACAATGATGAGAGTAATGTAGTTTAAAAGCCAGTATATCCAGTTGTGCTTTCCACCAAACGTCATTTAAGTGATGAGAAAGTCTGTGGCTATTTACATCAAAGTTAACTTTGCTTGAGTTCTTCATTGTTAAAGTCAGCAATCAAACGTGCACGAACCTGAATACGTATCTGTGGCGGACGAAATATATCAGTACCAAAATAATGATATGCGACTAATAATTAATAAGTAAACCTGAATTCATTATTCCACTATATTTATATCGTATTAACTAACTAACAGATATTACATTCAACGGTTCAAATCAGTTATCTTATCTGAATATGTTAAACAACTGACTGGAACATTAAAATAACACAAACTTTCAATTACAAATACATTCTTCCTCATTGAATTCATTCTTTTATCTTTATTTATTTTCATTTTATGCATGCTGTGACATTTTGATTCATATCATATATAAAATGATATGTTTTCTTAATATTCACCGACCGAAGACAACATATAGTGAATGAAATATCTTCTTCTCATTTACGTATACACACAATCTGTTATGTTAACACTTTTCGTTTCACACAACATGTCTCTTACACACTAATGTAAATACCTACTTTAAACATTGTTCACGTCGATTGGATGACTTATTCAGTATACAGCAAACCAGAGAACCATGTACCTATTTATATTTGATAATTTTGTTGTTTGATTATATTTTCCTTGAAAAAGCTTGAACCAGATCGCCAGGCGAAACGTTGAATTTACTTCAAATCCATTCGCTGAGATTTTACAAATACTTTCTTCCTCTTTCATTAAAAACTAAACACCTAAATACACAATAAAAAACCATAAAAACACACAGCTTTTGTATTTGAAAAAAACAAGCAAACAATGTGGTGGACTAACAGTATATTAACCAAAAAGGAATAGCAGTAAAGTTATTACGTCCAAAATTTAATATAACAATAAACAACTTATAAATTATTAACGCAAAACAAAAGTTCAGGGACGTTACTTAAATCAGCTGGCTGTTGCCTGTTCCGTTGTGCTTGGTACCAAAGATCCACAATTATATACAATTAATAATTTCAATGAGGTAAATATGGCTCCAGCTAGTTTTCTCGACGTAGAATGCAATAAGAATGTCACGACAGTCTATAAATATAGTTGATAGTTAATCAGTAGTTTAGTTATTATATTCACAGACATGATAGAACGAGGCATGTGTGTATAAGAGTGTATTTATTAATGCACAGTTAACAATGCCGTGCTATGTGTAATTCAAAACGGAAGGAAGTTCGTTGTCAAGGTCACATACTTAAACAACAAGTAAAATTGTTTAGTGATAAATGTACAGATTGTGGAAATAAACAAAATAAATGCAAAAGCTATCAAAAACTATTTACAAAATAGGTTTATTAGGCCTATCTCCACAACAGTATCATCAAAAGATCATCTGAAATTTGATATTTGCTTCTAACAACGATTAGTTTTCATCAGTTTAGGGGTTGTGGATTTAGTGGCCCGTGGATCTGACTCCTATTTAGATCGTATAAATGATTGTTATCGCCTTTTCTCGTGAATCATCGTCAAATTAAATCACGTTATCCAATAACGGAATTAAATAAGTCGAATAACAAGAATTGACTTGTGAATACATATATTTTGTACATGAAGCGAATGAAACAGAGCAAAGCAAAATGACACGCAGGGAAGATGGCTGGGAAGCCAACTCCATTTTAGTCAAGCGTTACTCAGTATTTATAGTCAGACAAAATAAAGCTACAGACATGTGATTAATGGGATAAGAAGGGCACACACATATGCGCTCATATAAAAACAGTCAAGACTGATAAGCGAATAATTGACAAGGTCAAAATATGACTCAAGTAGAATGAATAGAATGGAATGTCCGAAAGCTAGAATAAGATACATGGGCTTAAAATAATGACTGACACTACATGGACATTGATAAGTTTGTGTTTGAGACCATGAACCGATTGATGCTAGACCGCCATTGAGCTAATCCGCGTCGGGAAGAAATATGTGTCTACCTCAGTACAATGAAAGATGGTCGCGCAACTTCGTGGATTGATTGAGGTTAGACATTGACACCATTGGATGCTGGCTCAGTGGTCCAGTAGGTTAAGCGTTCGCGCGCGAGACTGAAGGCCACGGGTTCGAATCCTGCTCGAGGGATCATGAATACGCACTGCCGAGGAGTCCCACAATAGGACGAAACGGCCGGCTAGTGCTTCTAGGTTTTCAATGGTGGTCGAACATCAATCCATTCATGATCTCAATCAAAAACGAATAGTTTGTAATTCGTTCAGCTCTTAATTGCTGTTACATTATAATACATATACTGTCTTATTTCTGACTTAAGCTCTAGTCCATTAGTGACTCCTAGTGTACGTACTGTTAAGATCTGTGGATTACTGGTTCGTACTTGCTTACTTACTTACTCCTGTTACTCCTAATGGAGCATAGGCCGCCGACCAGCATTCTCCAACCCACTCTGTCCTGGGCCTTCTTTTCTAGTTCCATCCAATTCTTGTTCATTTCTCTCATGTCTATTTCCATTCCCCGGCGTAATGTGTTCTTTGGTCTTCCTCTTCTCCTTTGGCCTTCAGGATTCCATGTGAGGACTTGTCTTGTGACGCAGTTGGGTGCTTTCCTCAACGTGTGTCTTATCCACTTCCAGCGCTTCTTCCTGATTTCTTCCTCCGCTGGGATCTGGTTTGTTCTTTCCCACAGTAGGTTGTTGCTAATAGTGTCCGGCTTTTATATTACACTCAATACTTTTAATTCTGCTTATTATCAAGAATTATTTAGAAAAATCATTGAAATTTTCATCACTGCTTTAGTTTACTGAAATCCATAGAAGTTTAAGTAGTAAATGTTATGTTTATTTCAGTAGTTATTTTTTATTCTACTTATAATCAGCATAAAATGTGTTCATTAAAATTCAATAATAATAATTTATACTGATGTAAACAAAATAGACTCCTATTTCCTTCTATTTACAGATTAAATTTCAAACTCCTCCCATTTGTAATATTAGACTATATAAATATGGACTTAGCTACTTTGGATAAATACCTATAATTCTTTTGTTAAACGTATATAAATATATTAAGGTATGATAAAATAACTCATCACTAAAACTGTCCTAGTATAGTGAATTTTGGTTGTTTGTTTTCTTAATGGATGAAAATCTGAAAACAGTAAGTAATGTGTATTTATACAAATTGTATGTGAAGTTGTTTATTTATGCTTAACAATGGATTTGAATGTTTCAAATTGAAATTAATCAACAGATTTTTTTAAATTTTACATATAACTGTAATAAACTGTGTAAATAAAGATTTATACTAACATCTTTGAATATGTTTATTAGTCAGTGAAGAACCTTCAGTTCTCATCGAGATCTTCAGATTCTTACATTCAGTTTGATAAATTAATACAATATCGATATGACGTCCTGTATAGGATTTAGTGTAAGTAAATACAATTAACGTAGGTCTTATAGGTCTTGGTCGAAACTTACACTTATCAATGATGTCTTCTAAAACGTTTACTGTATATTCTTACTCTAATCAAATTAATTTATGAATTATCGCTTGATGTAATGGATAAAACGTAAATTCTATGCTGTTTGAAGCATCTCATAATGTAATAAACCCAATTTATCACAAAAGTAATATATTTTTATCCAAACAATATAGAAAATAATTTTTATTGATATTAAAAATTCATTAGCGACATTTATGGTGTATGCAACAACCTTTAATCATTTCACAGGTTGAAATTATGAGTCAACTGAAGCTAGACCACCATGGAAAACCTGGAAGCACTGGACGGCCGTTTCGTCCCAGTATGCGACTCCTCAGCAGTGCTCATCCACGATCCACGAGTCCCATACTAGTATGAAACGACAGTACAGTGCTTACAGGTTTTTCATGGTGGTCTAGCTTCAATTGACTCATGATTTCAATCAGTGAAATTTCTAAAATCTCCACAAACCCCTTCTGATAATAGATAATATCATAAAATATCTACTATATAACAACTGTGAATCATAAAACTATTGTAGTTCATTTACAAGCAGTATCAAATTTTAGAGATTCTTTCTGATGATTTCATTTTATATGACTTTGAAAGTTTAACAAATGGACTGTTTAATTCATAGATTGTAACACTACTATAGGTAATATATACTATTCGAAAATAAACATAATGTGAAAGTGATTTTCAATTATTTATACAGTAAATGATTAAATTATCAATCAAGGCTACCTAGACTATCGGGACTCAACAATCAATGGATAAAATTACAGATTTGCAGTGAAATTTAAAGTTAAACACTACAATTCAAATGGCTTTGTAAGGTGAAATTTCCATTCTTTTTATTTCGTTGACTATAAAATGCTATCAATATTAAGATAGACTAAACTATTCTAGTAGTGGTATGAGTTTTGTTTCTTCGTTATCTAATGATTTAAAGGGTAATTCCTAGTCGTATCATTTGGACATTTATATGAACTTTTGATCTACCCATTTATTTAAACAGATTTAGAACATTCACTTGGTGTTGTTTTACTTGAATCTTCCTTTAATGTTTAAGACTGCAATTTAACAGTCTCTTATTGCATACTGTGCATATTACTTCGATATTGCCTTAAGTCACAAGCACTATAAGCAAACATGGATAGTAGCTAGCAGTAGAATACAGGATGCGTGTTTCGTCCTATTTAGGATTCGTCAGCTGGATGTATCTGCATCGCGATGTTGATGTTCACTCTGAGACTAGAACCCAGTATCGTTCGCTTCAAACACCATCGCGTTATCCACTTAGTTACTGAATCCTGATAGCCACTTGCTTGTGCAATGGGGTGAAGTTTAAATTCACTTGATGTTGTTTTACTTGTATCTTTTCATTGTTATTTAGGACTTCAAGTGATTAGTCTCAGATTTAGAACATTATCATGGTTCATATATAAAGTATGCAATGGTTTATTTTTATTTCTTTCATTAAACTTATCTTTCAGAAAGGCTTGTTTCAATAAATAATATTGAATTAAATAAAGGTTTCAACAATAAGATAATCCTCATCCTTAACATGGAGTAAAAATATACAATAAATTCTCTATTCTTGTATTTCAAACGATTTTAAACCGAAAATTTATTGAAACTTGATATATCTGATGATAATTTTGCTCACGTCTATTAGTTTCGCCTAATAAAATAACTAAAGTTTAGAAAAAAATGATCATATTACATAAAGATTTATTTTCTGTGCTTCATAACCCACAACTTCCTTGATTATTCAAATGTTTTTACAGTTTCACGGATGTTTTTATCAATATCAATTGGAAGACAAGTACTTTCAAATTTATTAGAATAAGCTAAAAGATCAAAATCTGAAAAATCTAAACTTCTCTTTCATTTTGGAAATAGCAAAAAAAATTCGAATTTGGATGATGAAACTAAATCATACTGAATGTAGTACAGTACAGTCAATTAGATTAAATGATTAAGTGGATTTTTTGAATAACAGATTCCAATTATTACTGAGAAAGAGGGATAAGCAATTGCTGAGGTTTACTAATTTGTTTATTGTGAAAGTAATAAATTCAGAGTATGTTATCCAAGCTAATTTGCCAAAATAGTCATAAGAAACCGTGATAAATTTTATTAGATGTTCACATAAATACAGAATCGTCAACGCTTCTCACCTCCTAAGTATTCAAACTATTATGATATTTATAAGCAAAGATGATTAGTGGCTAGCAGTGGAATCCAGGACGCACGTTTCACCCCACCTGGGAGTCGTCAGCTTGATGTACCTGTATCTCAGAGTTGACGTTCACTATGAGACTCGAGTCCAGTACCGCAGATATGCCAATAAGTGACTGATCACCTGCAGTCCTAAACATCAGTGGGAAGATACAAGCAAAGCAATACCAAGTGAATTTAGACATTATCCCATTGAACAAGCAAGTGGCTATCAGGATTCAGTAACTAAGTGGATAACGCGATGGTGTTTGAAGTGAACGATACTGGGTTCTAGTCCCAGAGTGAACATCAACTCTGCAATGCAGGAATATCCAGCTGATGAGTCCCAAATAGGGCGGAACGTGTGTTCTGTATTCCACTGCTAGCTACTATCCATGTTTGCTTATAGTGCTTGTGACTTAAGGCAATATCGAGGTAATATGCACAGTAAGCAATAAGAGACTGTTAAATTGCAGTCTTAAACATTAAAAGGAAGATTCAAGTAAACAATACTATGTGAATTTATTATGATATTTTCTTATCATTCTTCTAGTGTGATAGTAATATTCATTTTCATATCAAATATTTGACCTAATTAAATGGTTTTCCAATGTACATAATAAATAGTAATTTTATGGACAATAAATAAAAGAAGCAAATGACAGGTTAAAAAGGCGGTAAATAGTCTACGGTGATGTATTTAGGAACAAATGTTATCCCGTAGATTTTCCACTTTTTCTTAGTGAATAGGTCTTCTTAATATGTTTAAATTTAAATTTTGTGTTATCATTATTTTGGTGGTGAGTATAAACCATTTGGTAGGTATGGGAGTTTTATTAATTATCTTAGGTTTAGAATTACCACGTTCAGTTCCATGCCGTTTTCAAGGGATTAACAAATTTTCAATGTATCTTTTATTCCAGAGAAAACTGTTTACTGAACAAATATGATTACTTTTATTGTCTACTTTATTTCTGTTTCAAACTGTTTTTTGCATCAACCACTATTTATTCGTAATACTTATATGAATTTTTACTATTTTGTCTTTATTTTGGTCCGTTATTCAACAGTTACTGTTGTTCTGTTTGTATAATTATTACATCATTAAAATGTAAGGGTTTGTATAAGGACATTTTTTGTATTTCGGTCTAATAGTTTACTGTGGTCAATGTGGTTTGCGCCATTCCACCGTATGGTAATTTTTCTTTTTTAGGGTATTGTAAAAGAATCAGATCTTAATCAGCAGAATGGGCACGAAAAGCTTAGCATCGACAATATATATCATGTTGGTGGTTGCCATCATTCTCATTCAGATAGTGAAAACCTAGAGAAACTAAAAACGGCCTTAAGGCAAGCCTTGGGATTAGATCCAAATTTACCAAAACAATGTGTTATGATGGATTCGCAACATCAAAATAGGTAACTGTGATTATTTAAAATGGTTACTTTAACATTTATCTATAATTTTCCATCTGTAATTTAGACTATCTTTGCTTGCAATAGAAATGCTAATAGAACAAGAAGATATTGATGTACATCCATATGGAAGAGGTGGAATTTACGAAGGAATATTGTACAGAAACAAGCCAAAAGAAAAAATTAACATCATTTCGGCGTTTATTTGGTTCGTTTTTGTTAGTTCGGTTGCTATTATGGCTGGGACAATTGTCACTGTAGCAGGTAAACACAAGTTGATGTAGAAGTTTTAACATAAGTAATTTGGTATTTATAATGTTTATGCAGAGTTGCATGAACTAACGTTGTTATCCCATAACCAAGAGTTTAAGGATGAGTAAAATAGTTCAAAACCAGGTAAAGTTGCATAAGAATACAATTAATATCAACTTGTGTTCAGAACCAATGTTAAAGTTAATATAATAATGTTCAAACAACATTTTAAAGATTTTCCACATCACGCTTTACCACCATGATCTAGGTAGCAAATGAAAATCAATAGGGATTTGATAACTGATTCGTTCTACTTTCAAACTATTTAGAAGTTTGTACCTACGGATCAAATCCAGGACATTTGGGACTTGGAATGAGTGTGATACTCTAGACTGCGAAGGTTGGATCTCATATGTCACTATTTCGACTTTATATAGTTCGTAATATAATCTGTTATTGAATAATAACAGAGGTACATACTTCAATACCGACAAATACAACACCATAGGTCTGATGATGTCACGGATATTCAGAGTTTGACAACGATTTTGTTCGTAACGCCTTTATAACTGAAAGATGCTAAACCCAATCAAACCAGAAGTCAGGAGTGAAGTAGTCCGATGATATTTTTGAAATTTATTCGATATATCGACGTAAGCTGACTAGTTGTTACAACGGATACGTAGCATAGCCAGAATTTTATTCTTAACCAGCATGCCGTCTGTAAGCACTCTTCTGATGGCTTCCTACGTTCAGCAGCGCTACAAGTCGTTTCTATTTACATAAGTTGGGGAATCGAAACCAGGATAAGACAGTTTCCATGAGTCTCTTTGTTTACAGTTATACTTCAGTGATCTCAAACTAACTTCAAACTGAAAAGTCGACACAAAACCCTATTTTATTCAGTGACTCTTTTCCTTTGTAGAACTTTACTACTTCTTGAAGTCAGAAAATACAAATGAAGATAAAATGGCTTCCTGTAACTTTTTTAAAAACTGTTTGAAAGTCAAGCCATTTCAATGAAGAATCCTTAGCTTATATTATTGACAATGCATCCCTACCAGATACTTAGTTCTATCTAACAAATCTATAGATCCATAGAATAAATAGTACATTCAGTTCTTTAACTATGACTTATCTGCTGAAAAGTAAATCAGTTTATTCCTCTTTGAGTAAACCTTTAGTTCTGATAGTTCTTTAATTTCCTAGACTACTGTTCCTACTTTAACTGAAATAAGTTCGGTTAACATGTCAAAAAGAGTACTGTTTCTCAAATAGTTTGTGCTTATTTTTTTTATCATTGAACTATCATTGAGTTGTTTTCTGCTTTGTATAAATATCTGCTAATTTGCAAACCGGTATTCTTTAATTTCCCTATGTTCGTGCAGTAGCATTATTACGTCGTAACACGTATGCACTGTAGACAAATTGCTTAAACACAAACAATGTGTAATCATAAGCTTTATAGATTATACACATGGCTCGAACGTACATTCTTAATCTATACACCCAAAAAGTCTGTCATGACACTTGTTTTGTTGGCACACAAATCAAATCCCGACCGTTTCAAAAAAGTGTAAACTTGACTGTCAAATCTGAAGCGTCAAAGTTTAGAAGGCAAACTCTGAATAAAGAGGCGCCTCTGAAACAAAAGTAAAGTTTTGAAATAGTAATTCGATTTCAACTACACTTTACGAGGTATTGAATATGAACTATAAATTGAACAAGGCAAAATAGGATTGTTATGTTTTATTACTACTGATTAAAATATACAACAAAGCACTCATTCCTTGAAATAAAGTAGTCAGTAAAATTTAAAGGAGGGGTACTTTACTAAGAGAACTACAGTTTTATTCTTGAGTTACTCATGTGAAGTACTTGTATCTCACAAATCCATTAACAGTACTAGGACGTCGTTGTGTTCCGAAAGATGAAAAGTTAACCGTGTGTGTGAACTTTATTGACATTGGTAAGGCTATTAAGGAAGTCTCACACATCAAATTATCACCAGTGTTAAGAGATTTCAGAATCAGAGTCACTTTGCTTCTGTGGATAAACGATATTTTAGCTAAACAAAAGGGAGTAGTATAGGCTTACTTCAAGTTTTTTAGATGTAAAACAGTGAGCATATCGGTGAAATGGTGGTGTTTGTTATTCACTGTCTCGGGTGAAATATGATTCTATTCTTTTTTCTTCAAAAGACGCCAGAAGAGAACAAACCTCTGTAAAACTCTGTTGCACATAAACTATTTATTGAATAGAGTTGATATTTAGCGTAATAAGATGAACACATAATGCCAGTTTTATAATACAATGGCATAGTTAAAATTTCCTAGCAATCTTAAGAAATTTCAGCCCCAGATATCATTGACCTCCACAAAGCTACCATTAGTGAAACGATATTCGACATCGGTTTAAAAGTTTTTATGTGATTGGCTTAGTTGTATAACATAGTCAGGTATATAAAATCTTACAACAAACAATTATTTTGGACGAAACTGTGCAAAACGTAGCACGAAATGTGTCGAACAATCGTCATGAAATAACATTGATGGCAGCAACGAAAATTACTAGAAATGGTGAGAGTAACTCATAAAATTTAAAAATCCGTTGAAACCATATTAATTTAAATGATGAACCTGGAATGTTGAAATCTTTAACTTCTGATCGTTCGTAGCGAAACCGAATTGTTTACCTAGTTTGCTGGGTCGTACACTATGCTTTTAAGTAGTGATATGGTCGATTTATAATAATGATATATATGATTTAAAAAACAGTTACCCGTTACGATTACCTGAAATAAACTTTCGACCTTTGTGATATTGTTGGTTTTTCTGGTCTTACAAACTGAAAAATACGTTTAGGTAGTCGATTATTAAGTCTAACGTCGACCCTGAAATGACCAATCTATACTTTCACGCTAGTGCTGAAATTTTGATCTTGACTGAAAATAGAACTCCTTAGCTATTTCAGAGCTCACAATTGCTCTTAACTTTGAGCGAAACGAAAGTATTAAGGCGCTTGTATTCTTGTCTGACCATCCATCTTCTAAGTTCAAGCTGGCCACATGTATCGGCTAATTGTTCAAACTTTCCAATGCCTATTAAACACAATCACCATTAATTTTTGCGGACTTCAACATCACATACAGATCATATACGTACGTATATGTCAAGGGTTCACAAAATCATAACTACTATCTTGATGTGGTGGTAGGGTTTATCTTTCGTGATGACTCGTTTGAGCTATATTGACTGAAATACGTGTTCCTTCGTGTCCTATCATGCCAGGCAGGTCGGATGTAGGACGAAAAAACTTAAAGGAGCAATTCGAGGTTCATGAGAGACATTTTACTGCTGAATGTCAAGAGGTATGAGAGTATTAAGGTGTTTACCTCGGAAAACCGGCATTTAGTAGTGGAGTTGATTTCTCGTTATAAAACAAGAGCGTTAGAAAATATCAACCCTTAAAATTTGATGTAATTGATTCTTTTGATAAATTTGAATAAATCTGGAAGATGGATGCAGAATAATATGGATCCATTAAATTCCATGGTGTCTCATAAGCTGCTTACAACCACCTATGTATTGAAAGGAACTGGCCGGAGGTCATTTGGTGTTGGAATCCAAAAACATATATGCAGAGTGTGATGCAATATTTAACTGAGGTTTAGAGACAAATAAGGTGAATTGTATGATAATCTTAGAGGTAATGAAGATTTTACATAAGATTCCTGGAATTAGAAAACTGATAAGCTGGGTTACATAAAGATTGAACAGAGTATTGCGTTGATGTTCAAATCCTTTCCCAAACCCTCAATAATTCTCCCATTCCAACAAATAGTCCTCGTATATCTTTATCACTGCACCCGAAATGTTTTTCCTCATCTATTGAAACCACGCTCTGAATAACGTAATAATAATACGTATCACCAGGACAGATACACGCCACTTTTACAGACATGTTTGAGCTATATTTGTTCAAACCTTGTGCCGGATGGAAAAACAGGCATTGTTGGCAAGAGCTCCAGGACGTCACACCATCGACGCACCTGGATGTGATGGTGGTTGATTTTTATGCCCAAGTAAACTTAGGAAAACCGAAATTCACTTAGGCGAATCTTTCAGTGTCGTGGCTACGCGAATAAATAATGGTCATCTTTTGTTGAAATTACGCCTAGACGTTAGCTTAGTTCTACCAAATGCAGACCTTAAACAAAAGGAAAAACGTCGCTTGACGTGGCGAGCACCCAAAATGACTCAACGATGGACCTGGGCCGACCACATTTCTATTAGCCTACATCCAATTCTTAGTGAAGTCGAAAAGGTTATAATTAATCTAAAGCTATGGAGAGCAGCAAAACTCGATTAGTTTTTACGAGCTTGCTTCACTTGTGGTGCAGGTGAGATATCCATCTTCCAACCAAAGGATGAGTTTTATAATCAACGATTCGCTTCGTTTCACCTTCTGGATGTGAAACATGGCCATTAGAATAGTGGATATTCGTAAGTTACTACTATTCGGTCATAAACGTCTACGAAAAATTGCTCGTGTATTTTGGGACCACAGAGTAAGCAAGAAAGTAAACCAGCTTCCTCCTCGTGAGTCGATTTTTCCCAGGTCTTAGACAATCTGCAAAGCGTGACTGGAGATAATAATTTGGATGCAACCAAAAACAGAGTTATTCCCCAATAGTTATTGTATAGGTAACATGAACCTTTTTTAAGAATAAGGACAACTATCGGCCGATTCCATGATGTTAAAGCACTATCTAACTGCTAGAAGTATGAAAACAACTAGGCCATTTCTTTAACCAGAACTTCACCACCGCCTTTGAAAACGGAGGAAGATAAGTCATCGAGGCCTGGCAATTCGCGAGTCTGTAGTAATTGAAGTTTCTCGCAGACTCCTGCCTCGTTAGGTGAGTCAGACATCAGGGCCCATGGAGAACGGGACAGGAAGAAACAGGATACTAGTTAAGGACAGCAAATCGATTGATGAGCTGGTAAAACTTCAACAACTTAGGTGGTTTAGACATTTCTTATGCATGCCCAGTCACCACCTACCTCGACGGTCGATGTTGTCTGGTGTAGGAGTAGGCTAGTGAAAAGCTAGAAGAGGCCAAACCAAGACAAGGCATCAGTCCGTGAAGCAAATGACGATTGAACTGAGCCATGTTACCAGGTACAGACCATCTGACTGGAGTCCGTGTGATCAGCGTAATCAATTATTAGAGACTTAAATGATACGGCTCAAAATCACTTGCAATGACACAGGCGCCTCTGTGTTTACCCCATATTCTGAGATTCTAAATTTCTTGCAATATTATCTCACTAATTTGTACTTTCTCGAATTGTAACTTAGACGTGTAATATTTCATGTCAGAACTAGTGCTATTAATACCTCCACAATTTCAAGATTTAGCCGGACATTTTGATCTCTCTGTGCTAATGGTCTATGACAATTGAACCGTTTCACATACGTTACTGGTTTCACTTTGTGACTGACCGACGGACTGAAAAAACCATAAAGTTTGTTAGAATGAATGTACTAACTGGACATCGGTCAGACTTGCAGCGTTACCCTGCCTCCAGTAAATATTGTCATCATGATATCAAGAAAGCCATATTCACTTTCATTTTGTACATGAAGATTTACTGAAGAAAACTAAGTGGATCTGTGATTTTGCAAAATATCACTGCACGTTTTCCAAATTAGGGCACATTCGTTCTAGACGTGGTTAATGCATGATTTCAATCATTCCGAGACAGAAGACCAACTCGACTAGCTTATTTTTTAAAACCTAGATCTGTCCGAACAATTTGTTAAGCTCTCCGTATAACAAGTCATGGTACTGTAGCGGTAAATAAATCTCCAAAATAAATAGCTCTGTAAGTTTTCGACATTGGACGCTAACCACATGTCTTAATGGAATCACCTAGCTAAAGGCGCTCGGTCATGCATCCGTACCAGATCGCCTGTGGGAACGCCGTGCTCAACATCTACTGCAATCGCTAGCCAGATTAGATCACACGATTCTCGATATATTGATAGTCACCAAATATATCTTCCAGTCTCCTCGGTTCTGTCTTTTGATTTCTCTTGGTGAGTACGAGTTATATTAGGTGTTACCGGTTAAAGCGTTGTCAAACACTGAATACTTGTGGCATCTTCATTGGTGAGCCCGACGTAATCTGGCATACCAAATCGTAAACTGTGAGTCTGTTCCTCTTTGGGATTCTATATATCATTGCCTTAATTTTTATACATTGTGATATTTTTCCCGCGCTTTTGGATATCTCTATATTTTTCACTCGTGTATTCTCGTACTTCATTTTCCCTTATGACTGAACA